GCTCCTGGCCCGGGGGCTCTGTCCACGGGAGGCACGGGGAGGGTTGAGGGGTGACCGGGAGGGAGCTGGCAGGAGGTTGCTGCTCCTCCTCGCCTGTGCCGCGTCGCCCCTGAGCGCTGGGAGGGCCTGGGTTAACGGGCGGGACTGGGGTCACTGGGGAGGGTGGGCGGAACGGAAGGGAAGGGAGAGCGGGTGTTGGAGGAAAACCGGAACGGTGATGGGGTGGAATAAGGGCTGAGGGCCGTCTGGGGCCTGGCACTTGGAGGCCGGTGTGGGCATACGGAGGACGGCAGTGGGTAACTCGAATAACACTAATCTCTAACATGAAGCGGTGGGAATTCAGCTTCTTTGGCCTTGAAGGAGGAAGGCTCTGGAAGGATGAGCTAACAGTTTTCAGCGTGCTTGAAAGAGGACACTGGTGCTTTTCTGTATCTCTTGTGGGAAGGATGTGAAGAAATCGTCTCAATTTGCAATGGTGGTGACTTAGCTCGGTTGCTTGCAAAGGCTTTGTAAAGGGTACAGCGTAGAAATAGGTGCAGCTTTTTAAAAACAGGTTGGATAGATAGTCCGAAGTTGGAGGCTGTTTTCTCTTCCTGGTGCTGAGCTGTATTGCAAAATCACCTTTGCACCAGAGCTGCGAGGCACCATCTTTGGGCATTCAAGGGCAGGAGGAGTCCTGGGTGGAATATGATACTTGCTCTGTAGGGGCTGTGCTGCGTTGGGTTTGGGGTTGTGTGGTGTACACACCTGTTGCCTTTCACAGCACAAAGCTGTGCTGACCTTGGAAGCACCTACCCTACAGCATTACCTTCTCTGCAGCTGGCAATCCCTGAGTGTTGGTAGCACAGTCCTTTTGTCAGACCAAAAGAAGAGCTTTGTGTGGGAGCTCAGATTAAACTGTTCACAAACCACTGGTTCTGCACATGTGGCACAACTTATTTTCGTTGTGTTTGAGTGCGAGAACTTAGGGTGGAGGAGACCTCAAGAGATTCTACAGTCTAATATCTATTTGCCTTTTTAAAATGTGCTACTACTAACAGGCAGGTCCTGGTAGGAGTGGGAATTCTTCCTCAGACTTTAATTAGGTGCTATGAAAACGCAGAATGCAGATGTTTATTGCCTTAATTAACTCCTGGTTTTAAGATGAGCAACAGCCGGTAGATGTGAGTGTCAAGGAACTGCCTGAGTCCCACGAAACAGCAGTGCTCAGTCAGATAGCTGGTAGCCTCTAAAGGCTTTTATTTTATAGGCACTATTGCTACACAGAACTTGAGAAAGAAGTTTGAAGGGAAGTGATAACTTCCTGGTGATTTTTGGTACCTTTGCTCTGTTATAAGGTGGCTTTGTAGACATGGTGTGTATTTTTTGGGTATGTGTTTACCAACTTGTATCCATATTGTTGAAAGAGGTTTTTACTTATGTAGTTATTTGCTGGGTATCTGTTTCAGGTATAACTTGGGTGCTGGTGTATCGAACAGACAAGTACAAGAGGTTAAAGGCTGAAGTGGAAAAACAGAGCAAGAAATGTAAGTACTTCTTGGGTGTCAGAGAATGTGTCTTGCTGCTCATGTTACATCCTGCTTTAGCAGGTGTCAAATTGAATATCTGCCTCTTGTGCTAAGGGAGAGGTCTTTCTTCAGCTTGGATTTCATAGAAACCTAATTTCACAAGTTCCACAAATCTGTACTGAGAGGAATTATTTCTGCCCCTAATTCTTATCTTTTTCTGGAGGGAAGGCTAGCACAAAGACCTGTTGTGTTGTCTGAAGTGCCCCACTTGATGGAGGACAGGAGGGAGCAAGAGATCAGTATGGGCATCTGTCTGAATGTGAGTAGCCAGTGCCTATACGTAGATTCCTTGAGGTGCCTGAAATAAAGTGCAAAGATGCAGTTTCTGCTTTTCAGGGGCAGTGGTGAATTTGAGTTACTTAGTGAGGAGGAACAAGGGTTGAATAATGAATACCATGAGAGGAAAGCATTTTATGTAAAGAGTAAAAGTGATGATTGATTGTGGTGAATGAGTAAAGAGCAAGTCACGAGAGAAAAATCTGAGCTATTAGCTGATAGAAAAAATTACACTAGTGTAAACTGGAGACAAGTAAATTGTGTAGGAAAAGAATCCCAAGTTGTTTTCCTAGGGAAGGTATCTGAGAGGTCTGGGAGGGGTTGAATAAAGGAGGAAGGGAAAAGGGAGCTGAGAGTGAGCAGTTAGAAGTATGCATTGGAATGGTAAACAGGAGGGTCTGAGCGTGGAGTGTTTCAATCGGAAGCCAAGGAGCAGAGGTAAAGTTCAGTTGACCTTTCAGACTGTATGTACCCTACGAGTCGCTGCAGTAAGAGGCAGCACACAGCAGCTGGGCCAAACGTGAGCTGGTGTTTGTTACCTGGCAGATCGTCAAGGGATGTGATTCTGCCCCTCTGCGCTGCTCTTGTGAGACCCCATCTGGAGTGCTGCATCCAGCTGTGGAAACCACAGCATAAGAAGGATATAGACCAGTTGGAGCGAGTCCAGAGGAGTCCACAAAGATGCCCCGAGGGCTGGAGCCCCTCTGCTATGGGGACAGGCTGGGACAGTTGGGGTGTTCAGCCGGGAGAAGGGAAGGCTCTGGGGAGATCTTATTGTGGCATTTCAATACTTAAAGGGGGCTTATAAGTAGATGGGGACAGACTTTTTAGCAGGGCCTGTTGTGATACGACAAGGGGTAAAGGTTTTAATCTAATAAAGTGTATACTTAGAATAGATGAAAAGCAAAAGTATTTATGATGAAACACCAGAACAGGTTGCCCAGAGAGGTGGGAGATGCCCCATCCCTGGAAACATTCAAGGTCAGGTGGGACAGGGTTCTGAGCAACCTGATCCAGCTGAAGACATCCCTGCCCATGGCAGGGGGGGTGGGGTGATTTTGAAGGTCCCTGCCAACCCAAACCAGTCTGTGATTCTATTAAATATTTTGCCACGATGTCAGCATTCTTAGTGTGTGAGCGAACATCAAAACGCCTTCTTTTCAGTTTGTTTTGCCCAGGAGAAGGCTGGAATAAGACTGGAGAGTTGAAGTGTAGTCATGCTTGTGTCACAGCTCCTAAATTAGGGGCTTTTGTCATCGCACCGGTATCGGCTGGGGGTTGTATCACTGCCTGGCTCGCTTTAGTCCCACTTGGCTGACAAAAATGTGTCGGGTAGAATTAGCCCCAGCGGAGTGAGTTACAGAAGTAGTTGAAACCCAGCTGAAAACTTAATGTGCTGGTATGTTTGTGCTGTGGAACTCCAAAAGCAGTTAGTAAGGCTTAATCTCTGCGGCTTAATGATTGCTGTAAGAGTTTAATGCTGTTTGGTTTTGTAGCTCTCCTGGTATCTAGGCTATGATCTGCAAAGGGAAAGATGTGAGGTTCATGCATCTGAATTAGTTTCTTACCTCCTCCTTTGATTTCCCCACCCCCAGCAAAAAAAAAAAAAGTAAAACTGAATAAGGAGTCACTAAAATTCACTTCGCTTTTTTATGTTTTGCCCTCCTGTGCTAAGGACAGCTGGTTGACCTGACAGCTTACAGACAACTTGCAAAGTAGCCCACTTGAGCCACACCTTTCAACTGTTATCTAACACATCTGAAACAGGAAAAAACATTCGAGACCTTTTAAGCTCTCCCTTGAGAGTCCTAGCAGTCCTTAGGATTTGCAAAAACAAATGGACAAGTAGCTGTTTGAGCAGACATTGTTACTCAAGTCCCTCATCCCTTCCTGTCCTCTGGTTTCTACTGAGAGGCACAGCACGGTCTGAGCTGCGGCGGCGATCGTAGTTAGTGTTCTGAGGTAAACGTAGGGGTAAGTTTGCAAGGCTGAAGGCAGTCTCTAGAATTTCTGCTGCGTTGTCACATCTGTTCCCACGGGCAGGCTTGTGAGACTGCCTGGCAGTTACTTGTTCTGCTGAAGCCATCTGGGCTGTCGAGTTCCTCAGGGGTGGCGTAAGGCTCAGTAGCACTGTCCAGAGTGAAGCTGGGGTCTGGAGGAGCCCTCTGTTAGGATTGGGAGCAGTAGGTAGGCCTGAAAAGAGTCAGTGTTGTCCAGCTGGGTTTAGAGTTGGGGGCCGTGAGGTTGGGATGGACTGATTGAGATCCCCCAGCTGGATTTGGCATGAGGATGGCTATGGAGAGAGTGTTCTGTGAGCGTGGGTTGTGTTGTCATCTGGCACCTCTCTCCAGCATTCCCTCTGAGCTGACTTCCTTGTTTTTTCCCCTTGTGCTAGCCTGCCCATCAGAGATATACTCGTTCTTTGGAACAAAACAACTGTCTTGCTGTATTACCGCAGAAGAGACAATGTTTGGGTAGCTTGTCTGGGCTAGTGTGGTTTTCTTGGCAGTTCTGAGTCGCACGTGTCGGCGTTTCGGAACGCAGTGCTTCAAATTGTGTGACTTGAAATGAAGGTAGCCAGCCTTCCACCTGCCTTTTGAAATTAAGGCTAGAAGGTATGTGCTGAGCTACTGCTTTGTGTGGGAGAAGAGTCTTAATGCTCAGGTCTCTGAGATGATTCTGTGAGCAAACAAGGAGCCGAGTCTGATGAGTTGTACAGATACAGAGTTTAGAGTAAAAAAGGGCTGCTGTCTGTTAGCCCATAGCCATGCCTTATTATCCTCACTCCTTCTAGTACTCTTGCCCTGAAATTGTCTCTTGCTCCCTGGAAAAGCTGCTCTTGCTGTCAGAAGAGCGTTGGCAGATGAGCAGCCTGCTTCCTGTGGTACCAGTTCACAGCACTGACTTTACATTAGCCTTTTTTTGCCAGGGTGGTAGTTGTTTGCAGACACTTGGTGTCTGATTTGGGGTCTTAGTGACTTTGGGCTTAGGCTCCTCCTTTAAAATACTGGAAATGCTTCAGTGCTAATGAACTGAAGAATGGGAAGGCTGTGAGTGACTGCTTGGACAGCATTTCCCCTGAGAATGCCTGTCTGTGAAGAAGGGATGTACGAGAACACAGGCTTTCCTGTGTTCTGCTTCCCACTGCAGATAATCGGGAGCGGAGCTTGCCACAAAGCTCTTTTCATTACACTTGCTGAATCAAAAGTACTGTCTAGTACTAGTGACAAATCAGCAAGGGTCGTTGAGCCAAAATTGTCCCCAGACTGCTCAATTAACAATGTAGTGGGCTCTTGACAGAGCATGAAGTTAACCCTTTAAATATTCTGGTGTCTCAGCCAGGGGGTTGAATTTTTAAGATTATTTTTAAGCGTTTGGGTCTTTGCAGCTTGTCAATTCTAAACATGCTCTTGCTTATCCCTTGCTTCCTTGTGTGCCCCTGTTCTCTAAAGGAATCAAATGTTTTGTTTGGTGTGTGGAAAGGGGGCAGTGGCATCCCTGTGTAGAAATGATGGAATGTCTTTCTTTTTGCTTGGCAGTGGAAAAGAAGAAGGAAACGATAACTGAATCAGCAGGCCGACAGCAGAAAAAGAAAATAGGTAAGGCTGGGAGAGGAGTGTGGTGGCCCAAGAATGAGGGAAAGTTGGGAAACTTAAAGGAGTGATGATCCTTTCCTTACTTGAAAAGTATTTATTTCAAGTGGTACTAGAGCTGATTCTTGGCCTGATGGCTGGAATATGAATACTTATGCCTTAGGGACAGGAGACATCTAGCCTCCTGATGGCTTTAGTCAAGTGCAGGGAAGTGCAGCAGCACTTGTTGCTGAACTGGTTGCCTTTCTCTCCAATTTCAGCCTTTATATCCATGACTGGTTTTAACTTCTGTTGTCAAAGCTCTTTGCTGCAGTGCACTGTCAACTTGCAGTAGCTATATGACACTAATTTTTGAATCTTTTGGGTTTTTTCCCCTCATTTGAATACTTCAGAGGTGAAGGTGTTTGCATGTTAACTCTAACTGTGCTTAGATGCACTTCAAGTTCATTAGATCAGTTTTGCTCAGTTTTTTTTTAGTGTTTTACTTTTCCATTCTCTTTCACTGTCAATAAGCTTAAGCCTTCCTGGGTAAAGGTAACTCCTTGAGTATTGAACTATGCAAGAGCAACATGGGAGATGTTTAATGGACATGAGCTTTAGAACGTTGTGTTATCTGCAAGACTCTAAAGTAAATCGTGCAGCAAAGCCCAGTTAAATTATTACAGAACTCACGGCGAGAACACTTCTGAGAGCTCCTGGGAGTTGGTTTCCTCATTCCTCTGTAACACCAGGTAGCTGGATTAGTCATTTGATCTGTACAAAGCTTGGGAATAACTGCAAACATATCTTCAAACAGTTCTTCCTAGGTATGAAACCTGTTATCATTAGACTCCTGGAGGGGCAGGAGCCAAAATTCTTCCTCTCGTGCATTTTCAGTTCTTGATCTGGAATAATCCCTGCATGGGATGAATACTACGTGCTGCTGTTGGATACGGTCACTTCTGAATATGTGGCAATGAATTTTTTTTTTTTTGCGAGGCACCATCCAAGCTCTGTTCCTAGCAGCGAATATTTTACTTGTCCTTGGACTAAACTAATAAACAGCAAAATCTGAGGAATTCAGATGCTCTACCATTTTTTTTTATACACTGAAATAATCTTGTTTTGCAAATGAAAAACAAAGCACAAAGGGACTAAGAACAGAACTTAGGAAATGACCACTGATTTTGTTTGCTGTGATGCATGCTGGCCAAGCCTAACACTGAGACTGATTTTGGTTTTTTGCGAGTGCAGCACAACGTCAGTGTCTCATTTGTTTTAAGGCAAAGCCAAATTCTTGGTGTTTCTGAAAAATCAGGCCCTAAATGTCAAACTGGATATCCAGAAAATGACTCACTTTAACTTCTTTTGGAATCTTTGATCCCAGTAACTTACTGGACGTCAGATCATTCTGCAAGATGTGGTGGTGTTGTAACAGCAAATTTACTTTTCCGGGGTTCCTACCATTCTAGTTAAAACCCCAAACCAAATAAGCTGAGGCTTTACAGATAAGGCACAGCTTGGTGGAGACCTACCTCGGTTGCCATCTGTCTCGTGCGCAGAATAAGGCAGAAGGGGCGTGTGTGGCGTTACGTCAGGGACGAATCATGCGTGTGCACAAGGTGCAAGGCTTAATCTGGTGTTTCCTACTTATGAAGCTTCTTATTTAGGTGTAAGGTGAACCAACTGCGCTCATGCTGTGTCTAAACCACCTCTCACACTGCTGGAACAGCACACTTCTCCCATTATGGTGCAGCCTTTTGTCATTACAGCTTAAAGAGTGTGTTTGTGAGCTTGAACTCTGCTACTGCATCTGTGTGCCCCTAGAAGAAAAGGCAGTGACATTCCTAGGGGTCCACATGAGCACTGGGCAGGCAGCAAAACAAACCCCCAAAAAACCAATGCAGACAAATAATATTATTGCTGTATTCCTGTATCTTCATGGTTTGTGTTCCCATGAGCAGAATGAGATTTTGGACTCCAGGGTGCTGCTTGTTGACCCAGTCCTCTTTCTCTGTGCCTCTACGCAGGTCTGTAGTAAAGTACTTAAATGCTGCTTATGTATGACTTGGGCAGGAGTAGACAATCTGTGTAAGGTGGTAGGACACCCGGAGCCTGATTGGGTTGAATTTGTAGAAATGGGTGAGAAACGGGTCAGGTATATTGGAGGATCAGGGCTGGATTCTTTATCGCTGTGTAACCTTTAGCCCATCTAAATAGATGGTTAGTTATGTAGCGGAGGGGGAAAAAACAAGTATTTGTGCCAAATGTGATTCCTGAAGAGCTGGCCTGTGGTTGCTGAAATGTCCCAAACGTGTTTCCGGAAGAGCTGGCCTGTGGTTTCTCCTGAAGAGCTGGCCTGTGGTTGCTGAAATGTCCCAAACAGAATTCTCCACCTGAGTCAGGAAGCAGGTGTCTGGAAAGTTCCTGCCAGAGGGGATGGTTTGTCGTTAGGAGCAATTGCAAGTAGTGGTGAGGATTCTAAGAAAGTGGGTAGAGGTGTTGCTTTTGGTAACATTTACTGAGAGTCCCTGTATTTGGTAGGGGCCTGAAAGATAATTGAGCTGCTGTGCTGTGGCCCTCTTGTACTGAAACTTCAGCAGGGGTCTGCTGGACAGCTGGCATGCTGGGTAGCCCTTGAGAGTCCTTCTGCATCCCCCACTCTCTTCACTGATGCTGTTCTTTGGATGTGGATGATGAGGAAGCATCCATACTTCAACTAGGTGTTGCTTCCAAGCCCTGGCTGCCCCTCTGGATCCTCAGTCTGAGAGAAGCACAGTGGACAAGGGGTGATGAGAATGCGGGACAAGAAAGGTGATGGGTGGTGGGATAATGCTTGAGGCCAGAGCAGCCCTCCAGCGAGGGGCATGGAAAATGTTCTCCCAGACAGCTGGGCATCTTTTGAAGTTAGTGATGACTTAAGGACAGACTTAGAAAGCCCTGGGCTGTATCAGAAGTGTGGCCAGCAGGGCAAGGGAGGGGATTCTGCCCCTCTACTCTGCTCTGGTGAGACCCCACCTGCAGTTCTGCATCCAGCTCTGGAGCCCCCAACCTCAGAAGGATATAGACCGGTTGGAGTGAGTCCAGAGGAGGCCAGGAAGATGCTCCGAGGGCTGGAGCCCCTCTGCTATGGGGACAGGCTGGGAGAGTTGGGCTTGTTCAGCCTGGAGAAGAGAAGGCTCCGGGGAGACCTTATAGCACCTTCCAGTACCTGAAGGGGCTACAAGGAAGCTGGGGGGGACTTTTTACAAGGGCCTGTAGTGACAGGACAAGGGGTAACGGGGTTAAATTGAAAGTGGGGAGGTTTAGATTGGATATCAGGCAGAAATTCTTCCCGGAGAGGGTGGGGAGGCGCTGGGACAGGTTGCCCAGAGGAGCTGTGGATGCCCCATCCCTGGACGTGTCCAAGGCCAGGCTGGCTGAGGCTTGGAGCAACCTGGGCTAGTGGAAGGGGTCCCTGCCCATGGCAGGGGGTTGGAACTAGATGATCTTCAAGGTCCCCACTGACCCAAACCATTCTGATTCCCAAAGTAGTATTTTTAAGTATTCTCTGCAAAGCATAGTAATACAGACATTACTGAAATTAATCTAGAAAACACTTTTCCGCTTTGGTGAATCTTTTAGCTGTGACAAAGTCCAAAATTCATTACTAAGACCAGCAGGACGTTAGCCTTGCTGCAGTGCAGCTCCCGGTTCCGTGTAAGGTTTTGGAGTCCCTTCTGACACCTCCAAAATGAAATCCTTGTGTAACGTGTTTATAACGGTGTGCCTGGCGTGCAGCAAACGGAGACCGCTCTCTTTCGGAAGCGTGATGTAGCGGCGCTGTTTTTGTTTTCTGGCAGCGTTGCTCGTGCTGCTCTGTCGGTTGAGTTAGCAAATCTGACATTCTGTGCATTTCTTTCAAAAGTGCTGAATGTGTGATTCTGGCCGCCTCCTCCTTTGTGCCTGCTTTGCTGCAGGTTGCTGTGATGGAGCAGCAGTTGCCTGTGTACGGGTTTTCACTTTAAGCTGTCTGGCATAGAGAGCTGGAGTTGGTTTTGGAAGTGTTATTTGTTTGGAGAGCCAAGAAGGTTAAGTCTTCCTGGAAATGAAAACACTCTGGTTTCTAGGCTGGTGTAACTGATTATAACTGTTGTTGTTTTTCTCTTTCCAGAGAGACAAGAAGAGAAACTGAAGAATAACAACAGGGACCTTTCAATGGTAAGAAAATTAAGTACGGTTCCTGACTGCTGAAGATTTCAGTCAGCTTTTCAACACACAAACTTTGTTCGGTTGACAGACATAGCTGCTTTTTCTCCTGACATGTCCTTCTGGATCATCTCTAATAGCTGCAGATTTTAGTGTGAGCCACAGAGTTCTCCAGCAGTTACTCCCTGATCTCATGCCCAACCTTAGCTATTTTCATCTTTATAAGTCTCCGTGAGGTTTTCAAAGTAGAATTTGTCTGAATTTCTCTTGTAAGTCCTGTCTTCATAAAGAGCACCTGCTGGTTGGTTGTAGAGGCTTAAGGAGAAAAACCAACCTGTAGAAGGTAACAGGACAATTCTTGAGCACTTTTTGGTTTGGGGTGGGGGTGGGGTTGTTTGGTGTGGTGGTTTTTTTTGGTTTGTGTTTCCCCCCCCCAAGCAGCTTTTCACATCAGTGGTCCACTCTGTGGCTGCCTTTGTATTCAGGTGTTGACTGGAGAACTCCCAAAGGGAAGTTTGGTCACTCTTACAATCCCTCTGGCCTTCTAGGTCATCTTTTTTTCCTCCTAGACTCCAGTGATGTTGCATAAAGCCTGTTCTTAAGGATCTGAGCCCATAATCCTTCAGCATAGGTCCATGTTGATTATTTCTGACCTTTCTGCTTGCAGGTTCGGATGAAATCCATGTTTGCCATTGGCTTCTGCTTCACTGCCTTGATGGGAATGTTTAACTCCATGTAAGTATTAACTTTCTGGGTTTTTCTTAAATTTCAGTGGTGAATATATTCTCTACCTTCCCTGTATCACCCAGAGTGTTAGAGTGGCAGAGTCCCTCCAAGAACCACAACTAGTCCATATAAAACAGACCAGTGTTTTCGCCTGAAGACGTGGTGGTTGGGTCACCACACGCATGCTCTGCTCAGGAGGGAGCACTGCATGCTGAATGCAATCAAATCGAACAAACTGCATTCAACCTAGGCAGAACTCTAACATCCTTTTTGCTTTGCAGCATCTTGAGTTAGGGCAAGCTTGGTAGGTGTCAGACAAGCAGCTACAGTCTTCAGCTGCTTTGGCTCTGCTGTAACGGTGTGACCAAAGAATGCTCTTGCAAACAAAACTGGGTCAGCTCCCTTGCCCTTAGAAATGAGCTATAATTGCAGAGTTTGTTGCCCTACTTCAGGTGATCAGAGTCGAGATAGTAACAGGTCCAGGCATGGGCTCTAGTTTTCCTTTGCTTTAGAAATTACCTGGGATATGTCTAGCTAAAAAAAAAAAGACAAAAAATGCCCAAACTGGTGTGCAGGGTTACAGACAGCTTTGTTTCAGATAGGCAAAACTGAAAGACTGTGCTTGACTTTTACAACTTGATTCAGTCTTGAAATGGAAACTTCCCATTGGCTGTTAAACCTGAAGATGACATGAATATGGTTAATATAACCTTTGGGAGGCTGCTTAATAGCTGGCCAATATACTTGTCCTGCAAACATGGATTTACGTTCTTGAGCACCAAAACCTTTGGTCTCTGTGCTGGCAGTCCCCAGGATACAGTTAGTTGTTATTTTACTGTAGATCTGTGGGTGGGTGAATTGCAAACAGGGGGTAACGTAATAACACAAGTGCCACTGTGTGGACTCTTTATGTATTCAGCTTAGTCAGACTTCAGCTTCTAGTGTTCTCTGGAATGCTGTGAAGCTGAGCAGAGGAACACAGCGCTGAAGGACTTTAAAATTTGGGTATAGCCTGAAGTCATCGATGTCTCATTTCACTGCAGCCCTGAGCAGGGATGGAGGTGCATCGTGAGTCATGTGCCCAGCCACACAGCCTCTGGGGTTGGGGGTTTAAAGTACTGTACCTGAGGCCTCCAAGTGCTTGCCTAGCTGTTTGGGATGCCATACAAGCACCACCACTACCTCTGCCCCTGGAACAGACTGAAAACCAAACTAAAATAACCCCACCTTACTCTGCCCACTTTCCTAGGGTGGGAAGAGGCATTTCAGAGTATGCTACGACTGACAAGAGCTACAGGACTGTAAGGTTAAGAGCTTTAGGAAGGTACTGATTTTGGTCCAGTCCTGTGTTGCTCTTTCTTCTGTAGATGTTAACCTAAAAAAAAAAAATCTGTTTATTGGTTTCTTCTCCTTTTAAGACCACCAAGTTTACTTGCTGTCTTCATCTTTGGAAGATTTCTGCCCACAGAGATGGTGCTATTGGGCACAGAGTTGACATGAAGCTTTTGGACAGATCTTTCCTTTAACTGCCTCTTTCCGTAGGGCGAATGTGAACAGCGAGAGTATCCAGGGAGCCTCACCGATTGTTGGGATCGGAATAGCTTTCTTGCTGCTAGCTGAGGCTGTTGAATTAAAATCTAAAGATTTGCCTGTCTGGCCTTTGCAACTAGACAGTTAAACTGGAGCTCCTGGTTTCGGCACAAGGAGGCTAGAGCATTTTAGCTGAACAGCAGCTTTGGTGGGTTCTACCTGCGCTGTCTGAAGCTGACAGAATGGTTTCCCAAGTGCCAGCTTAGCCAAAATGGAAATCAGTCATCGTCGTGGTGACTGGCTCCCTTCCTTAGAGTGCCAGTAGTGATGGGGCAGCAGGGTGGACCGTGCTGGAAGGATACGGAAGTGTGAAGGAGGCTACTTTAAACCCAAACACTTAGGTGCTCTCTTTCTCTTGACATAGCAGAAAGTGCAGCTGCTTGTCTCGGGAGGAGAGTGCTTCAGTCATGAATTCAGGAGGCTCTTAAGCTCCCTCTGGGAAGCTGCTACTGCCAGGTCATCTATGGAGGCATGGTGGGTGTGGTATGAAAAGGGTGGCTGACACCCGCAATAGCTGTAGCCTCATTTGCTTGCTCTTCCTGTTCTTGAATGAGTTCATTGCTGTGAGGGACAAAAGGGGCAGGAATTGTATGGGATTACCATAGTGTGCTGCCAGTGGACAGGTATTGCAGAGATGCTGCTGCTCCGTGGCTGGGCACTTCACCTTTGCCAAGTGCCAGCTCAGCCAAAGTGGAAATGACTCTGATGGCTGGCTCACTCCCTGGGAGTGCCTGTAGTAACGGGGCAGCGGGTGGACCATGCTGGAAGGATCCCGAAGTGTCAGGAAGGCTACTTTAACCCAAAAAGCAGAATGCTGTGCTAAATATGAGCAGCTGAGTGATTCTCTGGCTTAAAAGATACTCTGAGACAGTGAGATCTGTAGCAGTGGTGGCCTCCAAGCAGGTGGGATTTCTCCTGGGAGAGAAATTTAGCTTCTGTGTGTCTCAGTCTTCTCTCATCAAACTCTTCAATGCAATCAATTCTCAGTCTTAGAGCAAGAACTGTTCATTTGGGTACCCCTTGATGATAACAGTGAAAACCTGCTGGAATTAAAAGCAGGTACCTCGGGGTGCTACCGCTGA